CTCTCTCTCTCTCTCTCTCTCTCTCTCTCTCGCTTCCTCCGTTACTCTCGCTCTCCTTTTCTCTCTTCCGTTTACGTTCTCGTCTCCCTATCTCTCGCCGTTCTTTCGAACCACCGCGAGATCACTCCATCTTCGCTCGTTCGCTCGTGTCTCCTTTCTCCCCGCCGCCCTCGGCGCTTCTGGACTGAACGTCTATTTTACGGCTGCAGGCCGTTAGATGTCTCATCTGTTATACAACAAAATTTTTAAACCTGTCGATTGATTACAGGTAGAGGACTTCCGAAAACTTGTAAACTTCCTTGTTCCTTCCATAGCCGATAAACACGTTCGGACATGTATGACTGTGTGCAGCTAATCTTTTTGAATGTGTGATCAGCTATACAATAGACTAAAGTTTCCATTATCTAAACTAGGTCTAAACAGGTCCCTTTCTGCTTACAATACACGTTTAAAAGTTTGGTCGTGCGATAAATGGTCGACCGATCAATTTTACTCTATCCCCGGCTAGAGTCCAATGAAGATAAGATATTTCCATAAGCAATGGTTCTTTTATCGCAATCGAAAAAAAAACAAATTGTCGCAATGTGTAGAGCATTTGGAGCACATCACTTGATTGGTCGGTCGGCCAATCGATCAAGATCGGGGAATGTCGGAGAGCGCGTGTAATTATCGTGCGATCGGTAGGGGATTCGCGAACCATCCGCGAGCATTCGTAAATCAGAATAATAGTACGCGATCGCTCAATATTACCCGTCATTATCCGTTGTTTACCATGTCTCTACTGGATATATCGCTTCCTTCGGAAACGATCGTTTTCTTTTCAAGAAACTCGTCCGACAGTATTACATTTTTCATGTAAAGTATGATCCCGATGTTTCCCCGTAGATAAGTCGGCGCCTTGGACACCGGGGCGCGAGGGGGAGAGGCGCGGTAACAAGCTAGTTTACAACCGGACAGTCGTAGACGCGAAAAAACTCGCTTGACTTCGTCTAATAGTCGAGTGGCAGAGGAGAACAAGAAACGAGCAGATCTAAAATTACATCTATACTTGTTCCCGCATCGTGAGCATCGCGCGACGATTAAAGCGGCGGTTAATTAAGCAACGATATCTTCACCCTTCCACCCTATTTCACCCCGGGACACCCGTTCCTTCCGGTCCTGCGCGCGGTGCCGCTCGTTCGAATTCGAACGGGCGATTTACGGACCGCGCCGTGGAGAAGACGTCTCGACGTATCGGCCAGAGATATAAATATCTCGGCGAAAATTTCACGAAAAGGCAAAGAAAACAATCTCTCGTTTGCGTTTAATCGCTTATTTGCATTTCGCGCTCGCCAGGTAGCGGCGCATAAATTTCGCGACGTAGAGACGAGAGGGGGGGAAAAAAAAGGGGGAAAAAGAACGCGAGCGTTGCGCGACGATCGTTATGACGCGATGTTAATCGATTTGTCTGGAGAATAGAATACGCTTTTTGTCGGTTTTTCGGTCGGGCCGAGAACTCGCGTGGTGAAACCTGTTCCCCGCGTGATCGATCGCTCATGGAATGTGAACTTTACCTCGGTCTAGCCGAACTCTCGCGCGCGCACGACACGTATAATACCCCATCGCGCATAATGGATGCGCATCCACGTTGACGCCGGCGATAATTATAGCGATAATTAATTAATCGCGAGACGCATACATGCCTATTGTGCGTGCGTGCGCACGCGTGCGTCGCTGCGACGCGATTTTTATCTCGCGCGTTCCCATCCGTCCGTCAATTCGCGCGTCGCCCTTTTTTTTCTCCTCGCGATCGTCTCGCGGAATGCGTCGAGAGAGACAAAGTTGTATATACAACTTTCCATAAAGTTATTCTCTCGCCATCACGTTTGTCTTACGCTCCCGTCCATCATTCTCTCCAACAGGTTTACGAGATCTCAATATCTTTCACGTCTTATCACTTCTGCTACATTGGTCCAGAAGCGTTCGCCGTGGCGTTAAACGTGGCGTTAAATGCGCTGCTACTTTTCTTCCGAAACTTACAAATATAAACAAATAACAGAATATAGTAGATAACATTATTTGGTAAACAGAATCTTAGATGTCTAATAATTTTTTCTTGAATTTATATATATATATATATTAATTCAAGAAAACAATTCCTATCGCCAACTATGTGCTATTATTTTTTAACAAACTTGCAACGTAACGGCTAAATTTTCTCTTTTAATAAATCGATAATTGAATATGATATAGATTACCTCTCTCTTCCCTTTACGGAAAATTCTTAAATAGACAGAACAGAAGCTTCTTGTGTATTAGCCACGTTTGATAACACAGTATTAATATGCATATTTTTATTATAAATAATATCATAACGATATAATATTGTACACGACTGCCGTTTACGATTGGATCAACATCTCGACTAGTAGTAAAAGCTGTTCTCGTAGTAAAAGCTGTTCTACACCAATTTTTAAGAACAACAAGAAAAATCTGCGCAAAACTTCCCCCCGAAACTTTTCCCAACTTTTCTCGCTCGTTATTCGAGAAACGGCGCGTTCTTCGGCCGACTCTCTTCGCGTCGACCGTATCCTTCCAGCGGCGATCCGTAATTACTCGAATTTTCTCAATCGATTTAAACAGTCGACTTTCGTTCGCTTCCCATCCCGGAGATGGATCGTTCACACCGAGAAAAACGCATCGTCATACGTGGCTGCCTTCTGTTGCTCCTCTCACCCTCGGCCCGACGCCGAAAAATCCTCCCGGGTGCAAGGTGACGCATCGTTTTCCTTACAGACTCCGGCGTTTCCTCGCCGTCTCGCCACCCTCCCGCTCGTTCCTTCGTAAACTAGGCCCGGGGATAATCTTTTCGCGTTGTAACGGAACAACGCGGACCGCCTCTGCTCGGCGTTGGTTGAAAACCAAAATTTGTCAAACGCGCCGTCTTACGTCTCCATAAACGCGAGTCTCACCTATCTCCTTTGTCGGCGAAGAGTCACCTATTATATCATATCTGTTAGGTCACGACATATGTGCTCTCAATATTCGAATCGGCAAGTCTCAACTGTGCAGAGGAACACCATTTCCACCCTCGTGAGCAGCGAATGGCGAGTGAATCGGATTAGAGTTGAAAATTTCACGGGTTTCTAGACATGATGATCAGACGTGAAACTAACTACTTTTCGAGGAACGATAAGACATTGTTGGATCGTAAATCGACGCGAGTACACGAGTCGTGCCGATGAACGACTTTTGAATTTAGAATCCGATTCGCGCCCTCCTTGGTACAGGTTCTTAATCTCGATTACATTTTAAAGATCAAAAAAGCCTAACTATAAGCGCCATTGAAAAAAAAGAGACGATCGTTTTTAGCTTTCCGAAGCAATGACTCAATTAGTTTTTTCCTTTCATCCCGAGCTCTCATTTTTTCACCCCCTTCCGCCACCCTCCTATCTGTCTATCTCTCTCGGTGCTCAGCCGATCTGTCTGCGGTTGACCGACTTTTTTACGATACGTTCTAGCCACCCGTTGTTGATGTCACCTGCCTCTTTTTTTCGAGACCAAACTCTACTTCTCAAGCCTCTTTTTCCACCCTCTGTCGCGCTAACTTCTACTTTTTTCCCGCGTGCCGACACTTATGAACAGTCAGATGTATTGACATGAACTGCTCTAAAAAAAGAACGTGGAGTGGAGCGGCGGATTCTAATAAGGGGAGACGATATACGGGAATAGTCGGAAGCAGAGGGTGCGGGCATACGTGAACCACCCTGTTTGTTGGATATTTAAGTGTCGGCTCAATCACAACTGATTTTGGTTCTACTTCTACTTTTCTTTTCCTTTGATGATCGTTAATTCGTTCCATATAAACAGCATCAAAAATCACAATACAGAGTGATATAAAAAATTATTGTAATAAATTCTTTTCAGTTATTCAATAAAAGATATTTGTTATTTCAATAATTACAATTAAATTGTAAAAATTAAACATCTCGTTAATATTTATCTATCTCGCAGAAAAGAAACTCATTTTCTAAAAATATAGAAAATTTTAGTATTTTGAAAAAAACCTAAATTCTCTTTTTGAATAAAAAAAAAAAAAAACGTTATCTTTCTTGCAAAATTGTTACTACATATATACGTGGAGCAAGATACTGTCGTGTCTTTGGATTAATAAATAATTAATTAAAACACCATTAGGCACTTGGGCGCAAGGATTCGATTGCTTTGTTAAAGCAAGAGATTAACACGCCATTTTAATAAAATGGATAACCCAGTTTGCGTGCGCAATATTGTGAAATATTCCACGGAATTGCCGTAGAAATATCGCCTATACAGTCGAGCGCAGCGCGCCGTGAAATTTCAATTTAAGCGAAGACTTTGCGCAACTTTTGCCACACAAAGCAAACCGTGACAGAAAACGACGAACTTTCCCAACTTGCAAGGATAATTATCTGGTTGTTCGCGCGAATGGATGATATCGCGGGGAGCAAACGGGAAAGAAAGAGGAGTCCTGGAGGGTAGAGAGAGAAATAAAAAAAAAAAGGCAATTTTTCGAAAGCAGGCCCCTGCTCGTGCGAGTCGAGCGGAAAGAAACCGCATGCCTCGGCTGCCATATGTCCGCATTTCTGAAACATTTTCGCGCTAGGACTCACCTCTCGCTCTTTGAGAATGCCCTGCATCCTTCGCTCAAAAATGCGCAGCGTGCGAAGAGACTCATTATTCAGACTTATCGTTGCATAATATCTTTGATCTCCTTCTATGCGCACATAAATGTTAAGCTATTGTGCTTCGTGCTCCGTAAAATCTAATCTCATGTGAATTTTCAATATTGAATATCTGACAAATGTTTAATCGCTCTTGTGCAATCCTTGACAAATGGATGAAACACCCATCTCCACAATCACTTTCGAAAAAATAATAGAAATTTCATTAAATTTCGAAATCTCCAGTAAAATAGTTCGGACATTCCAGAAAATTTAACTTGCCACGTACCGTCTCAGGAAATTATCATCAGGAAAGAATATTGTATTAAAAGATCTCTTGTAATTATCGGATGTATATAAACATTTTGACTACTAACGGGGTAACACGGGAATAAAATTAAAATTTTTACGATTCAAAAAATCGTCTAGCACATATCGAAGGACAAATAGGTATCTTTTAAGATTGCGTGGTAGGCAGAAGGCAGAGATAAAGGACTACGTGTCCACCGTCCCACGAGCGACTTAAACTTACAGATCATTTGTA